ATTTGGATATGAGATAATTGTAGAAATTGGTGAGAAGTTATTGAAAAGAATATTCTTCGTTCATATAATTGTGTTTTAATAAGTATTATGTTGATTAAAAGAAGTGATCTTTAAAAAATACATTTAAAAATTTACGGGTGCGGACAGTATATATGCTCATCATGTAATTGGAATATCGCGAAAATATTAACCAGTAGTCATATGAAGATTTCATGTAAACATAATCTTATGATACTTAGTATTACACAGTGTGAATGCCTAATTTTTAATGCCACTTAAAGAAAATAACACAACTACAATAGTTGCTCACAATTTCGCACGACAGTTTGGAAGCTGTGACCTCATTTAGTTAAGTACTTTGACTTATGAAATATTTATTATTAATTAATTTATTCATTCAACTATTATTAATTTCTAGTAGCAAACCAAACTAACTATGACCATCAGTACTATCATGTTCTAAAGGAATTAAACACTTAACAGACTCATCACTAGCTGTCGTAAATTTTAAGTTGAAATCATAGAGCTTATAGTTGCAATTACCAGATTAGATTTATCATTTTAAATCACGAACTGATCTCAACTTGACCACTAATGAGATCTTGAAAGCACTGGACAGCCGTCTCACTTTCATTTGGGACTGCCCACGGATAGGTATTCACGACCATGGATCCTAGAACAGAACCTAGGATCATCAATCTCGTGCATGAACGCCTAACCTCTGGACCACGAAGCCGGGGTCCATTACATTTAACTCAAGGCTTTATTTACAAGCTAATGAACGAAAACAAATAACGAAATTGTAATTGTTTAGGATGTTTCTTTAAAAAGTTCAAAGGTATATTAAATATGACTCCAATTCAATAAACTTATTCCTCTAGGGTTTTTTTTCATTCAAACCATTAATTTATCCTTAAATTGCAGTAGTTTGGATAATCTTATTGTTGATATTTTGACTGAAATTTCATTAGTCTTAGCTGGAACATGAGCATACTGTGAGGATCGTCTCAATATACCCATTATGACACAATTTGATATAGAAATGCATGTCTCGGCTCCTACTGCTAACCACATTCTATTTATTCTGAATAAACTTGTTTCATAATGGGTATATTGAGGAAGTCATCACGGTATGCTCATGTGTCAACAAAGTCTGATCAAATTTTAGTCAGATTATCAACAACGAGATAATCCAAACAATTTCAATTGAGTGTCTCTCTAGATTCATTAGCTTAGTGGATAAACAGATGGTGTTTGAAGCAAAAGGTACTGTTTGAATTCCGGGGTGAACACTAACTCTGGGATGCGTCTATATCCAGTAATAATAATAATAATAATAATAATAATAATAATAATAATAATAATAATAATAATAATAATGTGGGTCATTTGACTGTTAATTGAAGCAAGAATAGTATTTTCCGTAAACATCGTCATTTCATTCTATTTGTGTGGGCTGTGATATCGCCCGGGTGCCAAGACCGAAGCAGGAGTTTCTAGAAACTATCTGGTAAAATTTTATATTGGATGTTTGTGGAGATGTTTGAGTTTTCGTAAATAACTTCATTTACTAATCTTATTTAAACCAACACTGAAAACAAGGAAGCACTGGACAGCTATTTCATCTTAATATCGGTGGCACAATATCCCGAATCAACTGAAGTTAGACATCTAAACTGTTGGATGGCAATTCATTCGTCTGAAGACTAGGAACTCGCCACGAAACCTAAAGGTTTTAAGTTCATTTGCCGGTGGATTCATGGCAGTACGCTGTTGAAGATTTCTATTAGATGATGAAGCAGCTGTCTCGTGTTTCCTGGTTCCAAGTGGTAGCCAATGAATGGTGTAATTTATGACAACATCGTTAATATGGCACATGGCATACATATTTGGATCAGTAATATAGAACTATAACTGGAAAGTGATCTCTACTAACAAAAATTGAAATGGTAGATAGGTCTATTTTATTTACTTGACTGCATGAAGATCATTTTAAACTCAAATATTGATATAGGTAAGCATTTTATGTATGAATAGTCATCCTGATTAACACCAAACAATGAATTATAGTCTGCAAACAGAATAAAGGCTACACAGAAATATAAAATCTGGTGCTCTAGCTTACATCGAGTCATGAATTTAACTATTAAAACTATTACAATCTTCACGAATCCCCATTTTGATCATTATCATCATATGCTCACTAGTGAATGGCTTTAAGATGATTTCCTGGAGTTCTAGTGAGAATCCGTGGCCACTGGAGTCCAATCGGTGTCTGGAAGAGACAAGTATCTACTTTATACAATGGATGAACGGTTGCGCGATATCGTGAATTGATTAAGATTAGACATTAACACTGTTGGATACCGGCTCAATGGTCTGTAGTTTAAGCGTTTGCACGCGAGACAGAAGGTACTGAGTTCGAATCCCCCATGCGGGATCGCGAGTGCGCACTGCTGAGGGGTGCCGTTCTAGGTCGAAACGGCCGTCTAGAGAGTTCAGTTTCCCATGTCGATCTAGCTTTCATCAACTCATGAATTCAACATTTATGAGACTAATTATCTGTTATGAACTGTTTTGTCTTCCTGTATTTCTATTTTAACCAACAAAGTTTCCAAAGGTCAGATAACATATTTTATATTTTTTGACAAACCGACTTTTAATTTATCATAATTCACTCTTAAACCTGATATTTAGAAGCCGGTATTCATTTTCGCATCATATTTTGAACACTTATTATCAGCTCTGACTTCGTTCCAAAAAAAACTGTTGATTTATAAACAGAGACACAAGCAACACAAAAATGGACTGTTGATTTATGTTTGAAATTAAGGTTACTGTACAAACCTCGCTCATTTGAATGCAACTTAAAAAACTTATACTTCATTAGTTTTTCCATCGAATTAATCAAACAAAATAAACGGCATCATATATTTGATAATATTAAGTATAACAGTATGTTGCTCATGGTGATTTCAAGGTAAACGCTGTTCTAAATTTTCCTCTAAATGAAAGTGATTAGTCAGATGGGAGAAATATTTAAAATAATCAAATGAAATGAATAACCGGTAGGTCCCGAAATCGAAAGAAATGATTAGGAACTTAATGCCGAGCTCTCAGCGAAAGAACTATAGGTTCTTGCCTTGAGCCCTAGTAAGATTTTGGATAAATAAATACTACTGAAAATTGCAGTACTGAGAACTATATCTCGGGTCTCATCAACCCAAACAAATAGGATTTGGATGGTGTAATAAGAAAACGAATATTATCAAGACTATGTGCTATATTAGCGCAATGTATCTCAAACAAATATATACTTGTTACAAACATTTATATATAAAAATAAAAGGTCAACCAGATTAGAAATGGAGGGTAAGAGGAGGCAAAGATAATAAAAAAATAATATGGAAAACAACTTGAAGCTTTGTCACGTTGGTTAATAATATTACCATGGTAGGTTTAAGGTGGGAACAAATTGTCTCTAAAAACATAAATTGAGTTTGAATTTTCGTGTGGTTAAGGCCTCAATAGACCTTAGTTTATGGCCTTTAACACTTTTGTACAATTCACTAATTGAATTCGTGAGTCAATTAAAGCTACATCACCATGGGAAACCTGAAAGCACTGGAGGACTGTTTCGTCCTAGAATAGGACTACTCAGCAGCGCGCACTCACGATCCCGCATGCGAGATTCGAGCCCAGTACCTTCGGTCTCGCGCCCAAACACTTAAACTATAGACCACCGAGCCAGTATCCAACATTGTTAATGTCTAACTTCAACCAATCCACGACAACACCACAAAAGCCTTGTTCATATCAATCTTATGACGTGTTTCACTCATTTGTTTGGTAATGGAGGATGTTAAACGTTTATCACCTACTCTTATTGAGTCGTTTGATTTTATTTGTTTCTGCAACCACTTAGGTGCATGTTCAAATACCCTCATTTGGAGTTCACGGTTGCTTCTTTCTGTGTATTTGTGACCACTAACACACATCTTTAAATTAGTAAACACAGTAGGATGTGACGCAGCCATTTTCATGCCTTTTAGGTTTTCGGTGAAGCATAGACTTTGTTTTTTCCTTGATAAAGACCTTTCGTTATTAACTGTTTTAAGCTTTTTAATCAGTCTGTCTGACACACCTCTGAACTGCAAGGTGATGTGGACATGCTTTTGTTGTGCCATTTTGTCTAGCTGACCTTTTATTTAAATATATTTATATACATATGAATTCATTTTGTATTGTTTGTTTGAATCTTCGCATTGATGTTTAGGACTGCAATTGATCAGTCTCTTATTGCCACATATGTATTCTGTGCGGATTACCTCGATATAAGCAAACATGGAGAATGGCTAGAAGTAGAATGCAGGACGTGCGTTTCGTCCTATTTGGGACTCGTCAGCTGGATGTTCGTACGTCACACAGTTAATGCTCTTTCTGAGACTCAAACTCAGTGCCAAGATGGAACCAAGATGGATCAAGGTTCAGTCAATATATTAACAATGGGAAAATCAAAACTAGTAAACATCCTATGAGAATATATCTTAGTTTAACAATCAATGCTAAAATGTGAACTGTCTATGTATATCATTTTATGGATATTTCTGTTCAAAGGTAAGTGCTTTATACACTAAATATAAGGTATTCTTAACATATATTTGTGTTGGTATTAATCCATTTTATTGTCTTGTGCTTCCATTAATACCAGTATAAATATCAGAACAAATTGCTACATTTATAAGTGCTAAAAGTGATGCATAGTGCACATCGGCTTTAGACAAAAATATGCGGTGTATAAGAGTTCAAACACAGATATATTAATGAACAAATTTTGAACTCAAATGAATATGACCATCTATAAACAATCACGATCTATAAATGCCTACAACTTTCCGATGTTTGTTTATACTATTTAAAGTAGTTTGAAACTAAAAAGCGAAACGTTAAGCTATCAATTAACGAATCAGTTTTAGAAAATCAAATTTCAAAAAAAAAGAATCGAAAATATGCATCGTTATATTTCCTAAGCTGAAATTGTATATATCATATCATAAGTATAAGGAGTATTATCCAATTGGATAAAACTATAAATATGTTTCGCAATATCATCGGAAAGTAGATACAAACAAACAAATCGAAGCAATGACAGAATAAATCATAACATATCAAGGTTTAAAAGTAACGGTAGAACTGAAAAGAAGCAAGTTAGAAATTGTACAATAAACATGAATTTACATGGGGTTCAACAGAAGGGATTGTCTCACGGAGACAAAAATCATTGACATCTGAAAACTAACCAGATGTAAAATAACACATAACACTTCTAATCACTTTTCCTAACTAATCAAGTGGCGTCGTTGTTAATGGTGTTTCCGAATGTCTTAAAATATCCAATTCATCTTCCTTATCTTTCATTTGTAAATCTCTCACCATTCGCAGTATATCCTTTACAGAAACGTGTATTCCTTTATCTAAACATACGGTAATGCGTATCAGTCCGTTTGTATCGATTACGAAAATGCTCCTACATCAAACAAAAATAAGTAAGCGACAATGAATAACAACTAAATGGTAATTTATAAGACATTATTTTGAAACTTTTTTTCTTAACCATATAAAATTGACCAACATTTGAGAAATTAAGAAAATAACATTTACAGATGTATGTGTTGTTGTACAAAATGTATTCGATAAATGTTATAAAATTCAGCAACAAACTGTAATCGATTTAACTTACAACGACTGAAAATATATTTATATCAAATTGCTTAATTGTTCTTTTTTTGAAAACAAATTGACCACTGAAGATTAGTTTTTAAAAGAAACTATCTCAGATTTAATATGACACTGCCGGAGTAGATACATATGTGTGCTTACGAAAGAAAACGACAGTTAGTTAGTAAGTAGAAACGCTAAAAATTCTTCATCTTTACCCTTTCAAGAACGGCAATTTAATTTCAAATTTAGATAAACAAAAAACATTACAGTATGTTGGAAGCTGGAGGTTATAGATCTCATACATCGTGAAACTAACATTGATTTACATCAGCTTAACAGCTAAATAATAATAGTCGCAGTAAATCATCAGGTAACTGAAGTTATAGTTTGAGTTCAAGTTTCACTAATATTAATTGTCAGCTATTTTAACCAATAAATCACACAGCATGAACCACTTTCCACTAAATATATCATTTCTGTGGTGTAAATTCATCCATATACGTCAAACCTCAATCATGTTTTTCTAATGATAATTCGTTCGACTTTCTTCATTTACAAAAATAATAAAAATAATTTGATACCCCTGTAAAACTATCTAACAAATGTTGAAAATTAAGGCGTGGTTTCTCTAAATTTGGTTAACATGTTAAAGAGATTTTGTTTCATAATGAAAAATATATAACTTTGCCATTATAGTAATTACATGTAAAATTGACATCTAAGTACATTTTGAAGAGAACAATGTAAGTGATGCATTGATATTGATTTAATTGTTTTCATAATTACTAAAAATTATCACTTTGCTTTGGAATATATATATATATACATAGTATTTAGATAGAATAAAACAAAATGTTACTCAGTAATTGACAAACTGTATATCATGAACAGTATTAGTATTCAGTCATATACCTGCCCATAATTAATTTAAAATTTTCGTAAAATACACCCATCGTTAACCATGGCAACCCTAGATCGATAACACATCTTTTATCCTCCCTCCCTAAAAATTTAACTACTATAGTTATAAGAAGACGAAGCTTATCGGAACTATGTGATATATCAACGCAATACATTTCGAACAATCTAATCACACATATACTTGTTAAGGGCATAGTTATATACAAATGAATTTATGACGACAATAATAATAATAATATTAATGGTGATAAGCATAGATTGATAGTGGCTAGCAGTGGAATGAAGGACGCACGTTTCGTCCAATTTGGGACTCATCAGCCGGATGTACCTGCATCTCAGAGTTGATGTTCACTCTTGGGCTCGAACCCAGAACCGCTGGCGAATATTAAAAAATATTATTAGTCTAACTTCCCAAGCTTTATTACAATGAAAAAGTTTTATAAAAAGGCTTACATTAAAGCACTTCCATTATCCTCATTAGAAACTCCATATGCTCTGCAGATTCTCATATTTTTATCTTCTAGTAACGGAAAGTGGACATTTTCACCAAGTCCATTCTTCTGAATTGGCGCGCAATACCATGCGATATGAGATTCTAGGGAATCCGGAGAGATTGCTAAAATTTCACAATTGATTTCTTGAAAGTTTGACAAATAACTGTTGAAGTTTAATAGCTCCTGTGATGATAGTTCTAGGCTATAAATAATTTAGTATGAGAAGGACTGATAAATTAACTATGCTCTACAAAGAATGAAGGCAGTTGCACAAACAACACTATAATGTAACAATATTTAGTTATTTAGTGATTTAATATAGTTAGAAAAAACCCTGAGTACAAGTCACGTACTGGTTATCATCCTTCAGCAAGATGTCTGAAACGTGAAGAGAACTATTGCTACTGGGGGCACGTGGTTTGAATCTCAAGAACAGAATCATTTCTCACGATATTGTAGGCTAGCTTTGTCAAAACTATGCCTAGGGCTTCTTTTTAAATGTCATACAACACCTAACACCAAAACAAAGTATATGTGACATTTTAACCTCAATCAACATTATTAATCAGACGAGCGTTAGTTTCTGCATGGCTTACGTCGACACCGAGATACCTGTTTCAAATTATTATTAACCTACCAAGAAGTTTAAATGAAATTTTCGTAAACAGAAAGACTGATCGTGCACTCAATGCTTTTATTACTCTTCACTAAGCAATGGACAAATATATTTTGATATTTGCGTATTAACCTAGCTATTAGCATAGCAAGTATAATGAAAGTTCTTATTCGTAGTTGCTTTTCGTAAAATTGAGGATAGTGATCTATCGCTTTTACATAGAACAAAAACAGTAGAATTCTCTCACAGTAACTGAAGGAGCATCAAGGCTAACATTATAATCGTTTACATACGTTTATATTCAGTATAATAATTATAAATCGCCTCGTTTTTTTATCTAGAAAAATATGAAGTGAATGCATTTAATCATAGGTTAATACTCAAGTTTATGTAGTCTAGTACTTAATCCTGATCTAATCTTGTCGACTAAGCTCAAAACATCGTAATTAAAGTGGCTAACTCATATTTTATGTTTTTTAGTGAGATAGTCGATTTACATCAGTTGGAATTCAGTGGACTATACTCCAGAAATCAAATGATTCTCCGTATGGAGCACAAGGCATCCAAAATACATTGTTACTTCACTGTCTACCTTTTACGTGGTTGGACTCCACCAGTTTGGACTCTTCTTTAGAGTTAATCTTAGAGCTAATAATTAGTAAAGAGACGATTATTATTTGGGTTAATTATCTGTAGAAATTAGTTGAATTTGGAATGATAGCAACAATTACCCTAATTATTTTCTTACCATATTTTGCTTCTTATGAAAGCAATTTAAGTTGAGTTGTTATACTAAATAATATCATTCATGTTCCGTCAAAAAAACGGTCATACGTCCTGTACTCTGCCTTTAACCTTTATATAATAGATAAAATATCTGTTCACTTGTTCAGTTCAACTCCAAAACTTTTTTTGAGTTGTCAGTTCTTACTATACATTCGATTTAAAATGTACCAAATGGAATGGCTGGATCGATATCTCCCCTACCCATTTTTTTGTTTTCTTGTTTGCTCTGATTATTAACGCATACACAAATTGTTCTTTCCATTTTCTGTTGATTGATTTTGACCGGACCATTATGTAGTTCCCTTAATTACTTAGTTTGGAAAACTTCGAATATAGCTTTCTGGTTTCAGCCGATTTTTGGTCATTCAGTAAATATATGCTCTTTGGTGTAAACTTGAGAATTTAAAGAATTAATATGGCTTAGCTTATAAAATTGTAAACGGGTTTAATATTGTCTTCAAAAATATAAATATTTATCAGTTAGGTTGAAGCTGTAGATAAACAAACAATCACCGGTGATACTTTGCGTTTTGCTAGAAATTTTACGCTTTCTATGTCTTTTCAAGCCCTTCAAATAAAACAATTTAATTTCTGCAAACACTTTTTCTCGAGAAGAAATGATGATTTATCCGAATCTGCATTCTTTTTTTTAAACCTAGAAGTAATCACTGCAATACCGTATATTAGAGTCTCTCAGTAAACTCCAATATCATGTTCTAAAGCCAATCTAATGAAACATGATTTGCTATAACATTCAGTTGCTCAGTGCAGGAGGTTTTTCAAGAATTATTGAAAAGCGAATTTCGAGTAAACCGATAGAAGTCAACTTAGTAAATAATAAGAAGACATGCGGAGAGCTTGTTAAGACGAAAGTAAAACCCTAGTAAAAATACCGATGTGATGGAAGTTTCTAGGCTGAATTCTCAGACGTTGCCCGACCACGGAGTCTTGTTTCATGTACTGTGTCTTTTTTTGAATACTGTAAGGCTAAAGACCCGTAATAATCAGTAATGATAAGCCATAAATTAGAAACTAGTGAAAGTTCTAAAGCAGTGACTAATAAACGTTTTCTAGCGCTGTGGGCACTTCTCAAAGTCTTCAAGTCCATTGATGAATAAGTGTTTCCGATTATATTCTCCATCAGCTTGATACCTCACCTCAGATTCTGCATCGGTCTGCTTCACTGTGTCTCAACGCGAAAGTTAATACACTTGGGTGAGTTCAACGAGTGAATAATTTGAGTGATAAGACGTTCCAATCCATTCTATGGCGAACATAAAAACAATCAAGTCTCCTCCCCTTATCTTATTTCAAACCCTAAAGTAGTGTCATGCTGACTAAATAAAAAATATTGCCTAATTATCTCGTATACCCTAAATATATATACATATTATTGTACAGAAATTGGTGACATCCCAATCTCCCTATTTTGAAGGACATTTTGCCTGTTTAGAGTAAATTTCGAAGAAGCCAAAGTAAAGAAATTTGGAGGTCTTTTGAAAAGATGGTGTAAAAACCTCGAAATTTCCCCAGGTCTGTGGTCAATCCTCAAAGTGTTTGGAGAAATATTGAGTTTTTTCAAACATTTCCGCAAGATCTTATAACATTTTACGGTTTTTCCCAAAACGTTCCAGAAACCTTGGTGAAAGCTACCATATTTTTACAACTTTAGCGAAAACCCTCAAATTTACCCAAAGTTTCCTCAAAATAAAGGAAAACATGTCTGTAATTGTTGGCAGTAATTCTTTTAAAAACACCTACAAGTTCGAAGGATAAAATATGGCGACCAAGTATTTTCCAACATAATCTTCTAATCTTGTCACACCTTTGGTCCCGTTCTGCAGAGATTTCGTAGAAAAGGCAGGTGCTCTGCTGCAAACTCGACGAACCCGGAGGTCTTGAGAAAGCTTATATTTGTGAGGCAAATATATAAAGTTAACTATCACTACCTTATATTGTTTGTACATAGTTCTGCTGTCAGTGAAAATATGTAGTACTTTTGAAAAAGAGACGACTTTCAAGGTCATATAGAGGCTATCAATAGGCATTTCATTATTCTGTCCTGGTGTTCAGATAAGAAGGTCCCAATAACAACTTATTACTTGGCTGTCTACAGAATGTTTTGTATGACATTAGATTTTAATTTCTTGACTGATAACTTCCGATTTTTATCTACAGCAAGCAGAACGATAGAAGTTTCTGCATTCAATATTCAATCACTCGGTGTTATTCTCGCAAGCCAATGCTCGGGAAAAACGATTTCTTGACAACATCACATTTACCCAGCTCGCATTTTACTCCCGAGAAACGGAAATGTTTACAAAAAAGGCCAGCTAGTTTCGCCAGCTAAGAGTTATCGAATCTGAACTCGGCTAGACCGCCAACCGTTCTGGGACAATGCTGTTATTTTATTATGCTATCATTTTGTTTGAAAGCATCGACAATTTATTCTTTTGGCTTTCACTCATCCATTTTGGTTCATTCCGTACTAGATGACTTGGTCCATGATCGTCTGATACTTGACAGACAGTTCCAGACGTTGAATAAGTAAGGCCAAGTTTATTATTGAAACTCAAGTTTCACTATGTGCCAAACTCTGCCCGCTATTATTCGTAAAATTTATCTGTGATCCCTCAGTAGACATAAAATACCCAGTTTGCATCCGCTGAGACAGTGAGAGATGTTGAAAAGTATTCAAATACAAGGGTGATTCACGTGAACTCCAAAGAGAGCTCGCTCTTCCAGTGAAATTGACGCTCAGGAATAGATTGATATTCGAACTACATTGTCTCTGAACGTAATAATTAGATGAAGATATGTGGAGAGCTTGTTAAGACGAAAGTAAAACCCTAGTAAAAATACCGATGTGATGGAAGTTTCTAGGCTGAATTCTCAGACGTTGCCCGACCACGGAGTCTTGTTTCATGTACTGTGTCTTCTTTTGAATACTGTAAGGCTAAAGACCCGTAATAATCAGTAATGATAAGCCATAAATTAGAAACTAGTGAAAGTTCTAAAGCAGTGACTAATAAACGTTTTCTAGCGCTGTGGGCACTTCTCAAAGTCTTCAAGTCCATTGATGAATAAGTGTTTCCGATTATATTCTCCATCAGCTTGATACCTCACCTCAGATTCTGCATCGGTCTGCTTCACTGTGTCTCAACGCGAAAGTTAATACACTTGGGTGAGTTCAACGAGTGAATAATTTGAGTGATAAGACGTTCCAATCCATTCTATGGCGAACATAAAAACAATCAAGTCTCCTCCCCTTATCTTATTTCAAACCCTAAAGTAGTGTCATGCTGACTAAATAAAAAATATTGCCTAATTATCTCGTATACCCTAAATATATATACATATTATTGTACAGAAATTGGTGACATCCCAATCTCCCTATTTTGAAGGACATTTTGCCTGTTTAGAGTAAATTTCGAAGAAGCCAAAGTAAAGAAATTTGGAGGTCTTTTGAAAAGATGGTGTAAAAACCTCGAAATTTCCCCAGGTCTGTGGTCAATCCTCAAAGTGTTTGGAGAAATATTGAGTTTTTTCAAACATTTCCGCAAGATCTTATAACATTTTACGGTTTTTCCCAAAACGTTCCAGAAACCTTGGTGAAAGCTACCATATTTTTACAACTTTAGCGAAAACCCTCAAATTTACCCAAAGTTTCCTCAAAATAAAGGAAAACATGTCTGTAATTGTTGGCAGTAATTCTTTTAAAAACACCTACAAGTTCGAAGGATAAAATATGGCGACCAAGTATTTTCCAACATAATCTTCTAATCTTGTCACACCTTTGGTCCCGTTCTGCAGAGATTTCGTAGAAAAGGCAGGTGCTCTGCTGCAAACTCGACGAACCCGGAGGTCTTGAGAAAGCTTATATTTGTGAGGCAAATATATAAAGTTAACTATCACTACCTTATATTGTTTGTACATAGTTCTGCTGTCAGTGAAAATATGTAGTACTTTTGAAAAAGAGACGACTTTCAAGGTCATATAGAGGCTATCAATAGGCATTTCATTATTCTGTCCTGGTGTTCAGATAAGAAGGTCCCAATAACAACTTATTACTTGGCTGTCTACAGAATGTTTTGTATGACATTAGATTTTAATTTCTTGACTGATAACTTCCGATTTTTATCTACAGCAAGCAGAACGATAGAAGTTTCTGCATTCAATATTCAATCACTCGGTGTTATTCTCGCAAGCCAATGCTCGGGAAAAACGATTTCTTGACAACATCACATTTACCCAGCTCGCATTTTACTCCCGAGAAACGGAAATGTTTACAAAAAAGGCCAGCTAGTTTCGCCAGCTAAGAGTTATCGAATCTGAACTCGGCTAGACCGCCAACCGTTCTGGGACAATGCTGTTATTTTATTATGCTATCATTTTGTTTGAAAGCATCGACAATTTATTCTTTTGGCTTTCACTCATCCATTTTGGTTCATTCCGTACTAGATGACTTGCTCCATGATCGTCTGATACTTGACAGACAGTTCCAGACGTTGAATAAGTAAGGCCAAGTTTATTATTGAAACTCAAGTTTCACTATGTGCCAAACTCTGCCCGCTATTATTCGTAAAATTTATCTGTGATCCCTCAGTAGACATAAAATACCCAGTTTGCATCCGCTGAGACAGTGAGAGATGTTGAAAAGTATTCAAATACAAGGGTGATTCACGTGAACTCCAAAGAGAGCTCGCTCTTCCAGTGAAATTGACGCTCAGGAATAGATTGATATTCGAACTACATTGTCTCTGAACGTAATAATTAGATGAAGATATGTGGAGAGCTTGTTAAGACGAAAGTAAAACCCTAGTAAAAATACCGATGTGATGGAAGTTTCTAGGCTGAATTCTCAGACGTTGCCCGACCACGGAGTCTTGTTTCATGTACTGTGTCTTCTTTTGAATACTGTAAGGCTAAAGACCCGTAATAATCAGTAATGATAAGCCATAAATTAGAAACTAGTGAAAGTTCTAAAGCAGTGACTAATAAACGTTTTCTAGCGCTGTGGGCACTTCTCAAAGTCTTCAAGTCCATTGATGAATAAGTGTTTCCGATTATATTCTCCATCAGCTTGATACCTCACCTCAGATTCTGCATCGGTCTGCTTCACTGTGTCTCAACGCGAAAGTTAATACACTTGGGTGAGTTCAACGAGTGAATAATTTGAGTGATAAGACGTTCCAATCCATTCTATGGCGAACATAAAAACAATCAAGTCTCCTCTCCTTATCTTATTTCAAACCCTAAAGTAGTGTCATGCTGACTAAATAAAAAATATTGCCTAATTATCTCGTATACCCTAAATATATATACATATTATTGTACAGAAATTGGTGACATCCCAATCTCCCTATTTTGAAGGACATTTTGCCTGTTTAGAGTAAATTTCGAAGAAGCCAAAGTAAAGAAATTTGGAGGTCTTTTGAAAAGATGGTGTAAAAACCTCGAAATTTCCCCAGGTCTGTGGTCAATCCTCAAAGTGTTTGGAGAAATATTGAGTTTTTTCAAACATTTCCGCAAGATCTTATAACATTTTACGGTTTTTCCCAAAACGTTCCAGAAACCTTGGTGAAAGCTACCATATTTTTACAACTTTAGCGAAAACCCTCAAATTTACCCAAAGTTTCCTCAAAATAAAGGAAAACATGTCTGTAATTGTTGGCAGTAATTCTTTTAAAAACACCTACAAGTTCGAAGGATAAAATATGGCGACCAAGTATTTTCCAACATAATCTTCTAATCTTGTCACACCTTTGGTCCCGTTCTGCAGAGATTTCGTAGAAAAGGCAGGTGCTCTGCTGCAAACTCGACGAACCCGGAGGTCTTGAGAAAGCTTATATTTGTGAGGCAAATATATAAAGTTAACTATCACTACCTTATATTGTTTGTACATAGTTCTGCTGTCAGTGAAAATATGTAGTACTTTTGAAAAAGAGACGACTTTCAAGGTCATATAGAGGCTATCAATAGGCATTTCATTATTCTGTCCTGGTGTTCAGATAAGAAGGTCCCAATAACAACTTATTACTTGGCTGTCTACAGAATGTTTTGTATGACATTAGATTTTAATTTCTTGACTGATAACTTCCGATTTTTATCTACAGCAAGCAGAACGATAGAAGTTTCTGCATTCAATATTCAATCACTCGGTGTTATTCTCGCAAGCCAATGCTCGGGAAAAACGATTTCTTGACAACATCACATTTACCCAGCTCGCATTTTACTCCCGAGAAACGGAAATGTTTACAAAAAAGGCCAGCTAGTTTCGCCAGCTAAGAGTTATCGAATCTGAACTCGGCTAGACCGCCAACCGTTCTGGGACAATGCTGTTATTTTATTATGCTATCATTTTGTTTGAAAGCATCGACAATTTATTCTTTTGGCTTTCACTCATCCATTTTGGTTCATTCCGTACTAGATGACTTGCTCCATGATCGTCTGATACTTGACAGACAGTTCCAGACGTTGAATAAGTAAGGCCAAGTTTATTATTGAAACTCAAGTTTCACTATGTGCCAAACTCTGCCCGCTATTATTCGTAAAATTTATCTGTGATCCCTCAGTAGACATAAAATACCCAGTTTGCATCCGCTGAGACAGTGAGAGATGTTGAAAAGTATTCAAATACAAGGGTGATTCACGTGAACTCCAAAGAGAGCTCGCTCTTCCAGTGAAATTGACGCTCAGGAATAGATTGATATTCGAACTACATTGTCTCTGAACGTAATAATTAGATGAAGATATGTGGAGAGCTTGTTAAGACGAAAGTAAAACCCTAGTAAAAATACCGATGTGATGGAAGTTTCTAGGCTGAATTCTCAGACGTTGCCCGACCACGGAGTCTTGTTTCATGTACTGTGTCTTCTTTTGAATACTGTAAGGCTAAAGACCCGTAATAATCAGTAATGATAAGCCATAAATTAGAAACTAGTGAAAGTTCTAAAGCAGTGACTAATAAACGTTTTCTAGCGCTGTGGG